ATATATAAGTATACGTTGCGCCCAGAGAGTCTGGCTATTCTCATTATTTGAGTTTTGTGTGGTAGAAGAAAAAACTATCTTCTATTGTTAGTGAGTAGTCTGGAAGCAGCACGAGCTTCGATTTTCATAGCGTTAAAATTAATATAGATCAAAATTAGAGTTACACATTATACGCGGTTTCCCTACTTTTCCTTGTACAGTCCCTGTATGCACGAATACTAAATGTAAATATGGACTAATTTCGATAGTTCACTAAACCCAAAGTTTTATCCTCGTTCATTTCCGACACAAGTGGAGGTCGTAACCCTGATCCTTCTGTGGGTGAATGTGGAAAATATAAAACAACACAAACAAACCAACAACTCGGTAGTCGAGACTCGAGAAGGATTTCAAAAAAGGTCTAAATATCACGTGTCCACGACTCATAGTCGCGAGTTGTCGTATTCCTAAATCCTAAGCACTGGGGCCGTGGTTCGAGGTGAATGTGGTGACATTTTTTTCAAGGGTTCTTTTTTTGAAAACGAATAAACAATAAACAGGTCTGTTTGTTTTTGGTTTTTTAAAGCCCCTTTTCTAGAAGCCTACGGCGTAATATGCTATAGATGAAAAGATAAAATAGGTACTGTATTTAGACTTAGGACTAGGATAGTAGAGTCAAATTTATTAGATCTGTGTACTCATATTTCAACCACATATCATAAGTGCTATTTTATCTTTAACAGGCAAATGATGGCGGTGAGTAGAATCTATCTCACTCTCCGAGTAGTGTGAGCACTTCTTTTATTTTCTATTTTGTTTTTTGTTTGGTGTTTAAAAAAGAACTCTTCTCAAAGTAACCTTTTTTCAGAAAAGAGCGTCGTATGTAGTCGTCGTTGTTTATTGTTATAAAAAGTATTTGTTATTAAAAATAGAAATAAAAAAATAAAAAAATACAAATCAATATGTATTTACTCATTACAATGCAGTATTTATTTTTAATATTTTGCCAAAGTCCGGAACGCTATTTTTTCTTGTCTTTTTTAAAAACAAATAGAAACAAAAAATAAAGCATAATAAAAAAAATAGCAGTGAGTGCCGAGTGGTCAGTGGGCACTGCGCACTGCGCAGGACATACTCAAATATTTTAGTATCTACTTATAAACTACTCATTTTATTATTAATCAATATTGAGAGGCTAAAAAAAAGGGAAATACATACTTGACTCTGATCTCTGGGACTGAGAAGTCAGATGTGAGAGTGGGAGAGGAGAATTGAGAATCCTGGAGAAAGACCGGCTCAAAGATGAAACTTGAATCAAGTTGAAAGCCAAAAGGGCAAAAGACTTAATAAGACTCTCAAAGTGAAAGACTCTAACTCAAAGTGACATAGCGAGAGCGAGAGTACTGGACAACTTTTAGAATTGACAATGTTGTAGTAGTTGTACGCCCATTTCCACATATATTAAATGTACAGCCTTATGTTTCGAAACTCTGTGTGCTGCTGGCTAAACTAAATGTATATTGAATAATACAATTGCACACTACGCAAAAGTGTAAATTAATCAGACATTGTGTCGATATGGTCACCCCTAAGCATGTAGAGTGCTCTAGGGCAGCGCGGAATTCACAGCATAACCGTTCAATGGATATGGTAGCGACAGAAAATTATGAAAAGATCGACGACATCTTAGGTAAGCATTTGTTGTGTATCTTCCGTTCCACTTAAATTTGAAATGCCGATGTATCATTTCTAGTACTGAATAAATACCATTGTTGATACTTAGAGGCTTTCAACCGCAAGGACTCGATCGCCGCAGAGGCAGAAAACATTTACACAAAGTATGACTGTTTGAAGGGCATCAGCTTATACCCTCATCAGGAAGTTGGTGTGAAGTGGATGTGTGAGATGGAAGAGCAATATGATGGAGGGCTTCTAGCTGACGAGATGGGAATGGGTACGCCAACGGCCAAGTGCTGTATTTCTAGATTGAGAACTTTTAGCTAAATCAATTTTTAGTCCTTGATTTCGACCTCATTTTGAAAATTTGCTTTAATGCTCTGTCTTCCTTCGCCTACATATCATATAGGTAAAACACAACAGATCATCGGATTGCTACTAGCCCGCCCCGAAAATCGAACACTGATAGTGGTACCCTTGTCTATGATGGATATATGGGTAACTAGCATAAAACAATTGTCAAGATTGGCACACAACCAGAAATTGAAAGCCATCAAATACCATGGGACGAACAGGGACCTACACTTACATCAAAATTCGGAATACAAATACGTTGTGATCACCACTTACGATATTGTTGTCAGTGAAGTAAAACTGAAGGCTGTAAGTGTTGAGAATGTTTTCGTTTCGGTTACGTGTCGAATTGCGTGAACAATGTGCAGTTTTCCGTGAACGATAGTACATCAACAAGTTATACATGTAATCTTCTTGGAGCTCATCGTATGTTATACAAATTTATATCCCCAGAGAAACGAAAATTTGCGGGAAGGCGAACCGCATTCCGCATTATGGAGAGTTCCAAAATGGGACCGAATCATATTGGACGAGGCGCATGTAAGCTATCAACGACTATCATGATTTATGTTCGAAAAAGTCACAGTTCTAATGCTTCAGTTTTTTTTGCATAATAACATATTGACTTGATATTACCGCGAATGAGCACAGGTCGTCAGAAATAGCGAAACAAAGAAGTTCAAGTCGATCATCAAATTGTCTCAAAAATGTGCTTTTCGGTGGTGTGTCAGCGGGACACCTATCAATGTATGTGGATGTTGAATTGTCGTTACATTTGCTAGTCTTTTTTTTTATTCGCCAATTCAGTTTCTTCGGCGTGTGATCTAGTTGTGATGTCTCAATCGTGATATTCTTTTTCAATCAATCTTAATCTCGATCACGATCCGACTTTACTCAAGCATTGAAATTGGTTTACAGAATAAACCGGAGGACCTGTTGTCTTTGCTTCGCGTTACGCAATTCGAAGAAAACAAATTTAAAATTGGTATGGCAGTTAAACCTGGAAAGAGTCCGTGGGTCCAATGGTTCAAACATCTAGATTATGGCGATGATCGATGTTTGTCTCTAGAAGCGACGAAACGTTTGAAGCTTGTAGCATCTATGTTTGGCCTGCGACGCACACCGCTCGACAAAAACGCAGAGGGTCAGCCATTGATAGTTATGTCTGAAAAAAAGGTTGAGCACGTCAATTTAAAGGTAAGAAGCTATACGGCGAGTACCCTGTGTTTGTTTTGCTGCACTCCACTGCAAGCCTGTATTGCTGCGAAGATAAAAGTATACTATTTACATGGTCAAACTAAAATCAGACGTATTTATGTGACGAAATAGTTTTCTACAGATGAAAGTGAACTTCAGCGCACTTATCACAAACATTGCAACGAAGAAGTCGCAAGTATTATCAAGCGGGGATCGTTACCAAAGTCAGCTGCATGCATGTTCGCAATGCTGACACGGCTCAGACAATTGTGCATCCACCCATCGCTTGTTACTTTTAAAGGTAATATTCGTCAATCTAGTAGCAAGACACGGAATTTTGACGTCTTCGGTGACCTTGTACTCTCTCGAACCGTTGCCTTGACAATATATAATCTGAGTATTCAGTTTGATACTAATTGTGTACAATATCTTGTTGGGTTAGAATATATTAATCAATCAGCATTATATTCAGTCGAAAGTTTTTGTGTATCATGTTTTCCACAATACTTTCCTCAATGAGTTTAAACATGATTTGTCCCTACAATAGTGAGTACTTGTGATGGGCCCGATTGCAAAAAGAAAGAAACGAACCCTGTGGAAGCATGTCAACTTTTAACGCATGAACTCTGCAAAGAATGCTGTCTAAAATTTGCCGAGGACGACGAGTATGTTCGTTTTATACTATGCATTCAAACTTTTTGGATGCTCGGTTTAATACATCGAGATCCACCGAAATGTGACAACCTAAACAACTGGAAATGATACTATGTACTTACATTCGACCCCCATTAGGTGCCCGGTTTGCGATAGCGCTGCCACTGGCACAAACAATTTCGCAACAAGGTAAATACATATGCAGCTGAGCATTTCCTTTAATTAATTTTTCAAAGCTAATGCCTTCTGCGCCTTTCACCCAACGAGTACAAATAAAAAACCAAAAGGCCGCATCAGTGTTAGCTCGTGTTGATATTAAGTATTTGATTTCGCAGATATCCCGAGTCAAAGTCTTTATTAAAGAAGGAGCGAGAGAAGGCTAGGAAGATCTTTGACGCATGGTCATTAAGAGATGTCCGCGGCAAAATCGTTCGATCCACAAAAACAAAGTGGATATTGAAGGAGATGGCCGAAAGAAAACCTACGGAGAAGATAGTAGTCTTTTGCAGTTTTGTAGCGTACTTTAAGGAGGTACTAGGGGAAGTGCTTAACGAAGAGGAAATCAAATATGTGATGTACCACGGTGAAATGACGATAGAAGGTAAGAAGAGATAGATCAGATATTTTCCCCGTGCTCGAGTACTGATTGATATGAATATGTCGCCGCTGTACGCAAGCCGGTGCCATTGCTTGAAAATCTTCTGCACTATACGTGAAAACTGCCCTGGTATATTAAGTATGTTTTTCAAATTAAACGGCACTCTCATATTTTGCATTTGGTATCAGACCGAGAAGCCAAACTGAAGAATTTCCGCGATGATATGAGTGTGTCGGTATGCCTCATGTCGTTGATGGCAGCCAATGTGGGAATCAATCTGCAGCATGCTACAAAAGCGATCATTGTGGATCCGTGGTGGAATCCAGGTTTATGCAATTGAACTAATGTTTCGTCCCCTGGCTTTTTTCAACTCTTGAATTTATAATTCTCATGCAAACAACACTCTCGAGGGGCCCCCGCGCATTGCTCCGATTGCATCCCTAGTATCCGCCCTGTGTAGCCCGCCATTTCGATTTGTCGTCGTACATACAGTGTCTACCGACGCTTCTCACTTTGAGTCAATCCCGGCTGTTTTTTTCTAGCGGTTGAGATGCAAGCAGAAGCTCGCATCTGGCGGATTGGTCAAGAAAAGAATGTCTCAATCTTCAAACTTTTAATTGATGATAGTGTTGAGATGAGGGTGAAAAGAGCTCAAAGAGTGGTACGGTTAATAGTCGTCATTGAGTGTGCGGAGTGTGTGATCATGTTGTAATCATGTAGGGGTCTGGGACATATGTACTCAGGTTCAAACTGTATCGATTATAAACTGGAGTCCTTGTAGCTTCTCCTCAATGTCTCATGCGCCACTTCATCGTGCAGAAAATGACATACATTGATGCCGCATTCGGTGAAGAGGAATCCAGGGAAACACCCTTGAGTGTAGGGCTGGTAGGTTCGGATGTGTATTCACTCGCGGGTCTGATCACGAACCAGACACCTCAAGAAATCCAGCAAATGGTCGAGCAAGAGGAACAACAGAGGACAACACAATACACGCACACAGCCCGCCAGCAGAAAAGTGAACCACAGGCTACAGGATCGCCACAGACTGATTCGTTTGGTGATACTCCGAGGACAACGCGAACAAACATGCACACCACCCGCCAGCAGAAAAGTGAACCACAGGCTACAGAAGGTTAGAACTGTAACACGTACGTGTATGATCTGTATAACCTGCGATAGTTGTAACATACGCACCAAATAACACATTCTCTTGCTTCGCCAGTCACAGATAAGGACCCGGAGTGTGATCCACTGGACAGATACGTCGATATGCCGTATATGGATCCTGCAACGAAAACAATGGTCGGGTGGACAAATGTGAGTGGTATTCTAACGCTCACATTAAAAAGCTAGACCATGCACAGCCTGCACTCGCCCACGAACAGTGTGTATACAAAGTGTGTCCGCTCTATATCATGATCATAAGCAGTGGTAATTGGACTTGCGTACAGGGTTCCATGCCCTGTTTCATTGTTCTGAGCATAAGCATTTGTATATATACCCGATTATACGGCAGACTAAACCCCCTCTCCTTTAATTCATCCACATCATTAGGCTCAAGTGGATCGCAGACCGTCGTCGCAGTCACTGTCGCTGTCACAGTCACTGTCGCTGTCGCAGCTGGGTTCATCCAACGTTACACCAGAAGGTTAGAACTACAATATATACGTGTATGTACGTGTATGATCAGTATGACCTGCGTTAGTGTTATCATACATACCAAATAACACATTCTCTCGCTTCGTCAGTCACAGATAATGACCCGGAGTGTGATCCACTGGATAGATACGTCGATATGCCCTATATGGATCCCGCAACGAAAACAATGATCGGGTGGACAAATGTGAGTAGTATTCTAACGCTCACATTAAAAAGCCACGAACAGTGTGTATACAAAGTGTCCGCTTTATATCATGACCATGAGCAGTGGCAATTGGACTTGCGTACAGGATTCCATGCCCTGCTTCACTGTTTTGAGCATAAGCATTTGGATATATGCCCGATTATACGGCAAACTAAAACCCCTCTCCTCTGTTTCATCCACATTATTAGGCTCAAGTGGATCGCAGACCGCCGTCACTGTCGCAGTCACAGTCACAGTCACAGTCGCTGCCGCTGCCGCAGCTGGGTTCATCCAACGTTACACCAGAAGGTTAGAACTACAATATGTACGTGTATGTACGTGTACGATCAGTATGACCTGCGTTAGTTTAATCATACATACCAAACAACACATTCTCTTGCTTCGTCAGTCACAGATAACGACCCGGAGTGTGATCCACTGGATAGATACGTCGATATGCCGTATATGGATCCCGCAACGAAAACAATGGTCGGGTGGACAAATGTGAGTGGTATTCTAACGCTCACTTTGAATGTAATACGACACCATACATGGTGACAGTGTGTAAACATAAGTAGTGGCAATTAGTCTGGAGTACAGAAGTCCATAACTTCTGCCGGATGGGCTCAGTGTATGTTTGCTGCTCGACGGCAGCTGGTGTGTGCTCGTTTCCCCAAGTAAACCCCTATGGTTGGTGCTATGCACATCGACCCGTAATCTGTAGGCTACGTATCAACTTATGCTAAATCGGGACTATTCCTAGGTGTCCTGTCCCCAATGGCTGGGTTGTAGTCTGCGTGCTCATAGACGTACTGTAAACCGCACCAGTGCCAACCTCCCGATTGCCTGTCGCGTCAAACCCTACAGATATACTCAATCATCTGAATGTGCAGGTCATTACGCGATAGATACTACGGCAGATTAAGACTAAACGCTCTCTTCTGTCTCATCTGCTTCATCAGGCTTCAGTGCATCCCACACCACAGTCGCGGTCGCCAATACATCCACAGATTCCACACACACAGAGCAAAAGGACAGCCACACCACACACACAAATTAGCAAGACAGCCACACCGCACACACATACCAGCAAGACAGCCACACCACACACACAGACCAAGAAGACAGCCACACCACACATCACTGGTCGCCGTTCACAAGCATTCATCGTCACGAATACGCGGGCCCAAGCAACCCCACCCACGGAACACTCACCGCCAGCCATAGCCCTGTCCACGACAGCGCACCGACGCACAGCACAGGTGGTGTGTAGACCTTGG